GTTACGGCTCATTGGTGCTATAGTTCGAAGCCTAAAGGATCCTGTCACGTCTTTGGAAAATAGGGTTCACAATTTGCCATTTTCCAACTGATCTGGCTACTATGTCCAGTTTGTAGTGATTATGTGGAAAAGATTAGCTCCTCTTTACATTCCTTTAATCACCTTTGCAACAGTTTATCAGGGCCTGGGGATTTGTTAGGTTTCAATTATCAATTTGCCTAGGACCATTTGTCACTTGTGACCCTAATCAGCATAGTTATTTTTGGGTCTGTTCTACATAATTTATTATTTCTGGATGATTGCTAGTATCTTCTGTGATAAAAACTGAGAGGAAGTTATTTTTCTTTTTTTTTATTAACACATAATTGGCTGATTCCAACCAAGGTAGGATGGCTCCGAAAAAGAAAACTTTCATCATCGTTTCACTCCATCATAGCATTTGCCAGAGGGGCTGCTTTTAACCACTACCTGTTATAAACAGCACACATTAAACACCCCTCCTTCAGAGTGTAGACCACTAGTCACTTACCATCTCCAGGACTTCAAGTACGGACTGCTGGTTTCCCTGAATCCCTTCTTAAATGTTACTTTGCTCACACTCCAACAGACCGTCAAGTATTAAAACCATTTGTGCTCCATTCCACTCCTATCAATTTCGCTCATGCCGCTTGAATGGAAGTCAAGGCCCCTCGCATACATAAACCTCCTTTTACCCCCTACGACCCCCTCCCCGCCTTCCCTCCATACAGATTTATACACACTCGAAGTCATTTGTTTTGTACATTCTCTCTACACGTACCGATTACCTTCAATAACACCCCTCCTCAGCCTCTGGATAATAGTATTTGGTTAAATCCACACCTTCTCCTAATTTCTGAACTACAACTTCTCTCATTATATTCAACACCACAAATGTCATTACCACTTGTCCGTGAGCTGACCCAAGTAACTTTTGAGTGGGCCTATATTGTCCATGATTCTTTTTCTGTATAACTGTAAATGAATTCTTTATGGGTTAGTCTTCGATTCTCTTGCAGCTTTACCTCGTAATTTCTTTTTGCTTTTCTTATTCCCTTTTTTTATGTCTTTCTTGCAACTGAATATACTGATATCTTAATTGCCCCTCTTTTCTTTTGATTTCCCTATATATGCCTCTCTTTTGACCAATGAGCTGTTTTAATCCATTGTTCATCTCCATTTTAGGATCATTTTTCGTTTTGATCTGATTTCCCTATTTGGACATAAGTTGTCGGAGCAGATCTAGAACTTATACATTGGGGAAAACGTCCATATCGGGCAATCTTCACCACACCTACCTGACCCATAGTCAGGTCATTCCAGTTCAGGCCCACCCAAGTATTTTTCAGTCCATCGAAATCAGCCAAGCAGAAGTCAGGACAAGACTTTGATTGCCATTATTCAGGGATTCCTGTTATATTTAAATATGATTGTGATTTGTGGATCAATTTACCAAGTCATCATTAACCTCAAGATTATTTAATTAGTGTTTCCCTACTGGCAGAACCAATAGTCAAAGAGGTTTTTCATGTAGTTGGTTATGGTCACAAAACTGTTTTACAAAACATCCTGATTTGTTCAAGAAAAGTCACTTGACTCTAAATTTCCTGTCAAATTGCTCTCCAGTCGCAAATCTGTCTATAGTTGAAATCTCCCATTAGCACAACATTTTCGTATGTAGATGGACTTACGAATTTCGTCCATAGAAGTTTATGCACTTCTATCAAGATTTGGGAAGACACCCTGATAAATCACACCAAAAATTAGTATTGTCACGGCCCTCGAGAAACGGTAACCAATAACAGTTAGTGGCTGGACACTTCTAATTTTATCTCTTGTCTAACACAAACAATTTAATTGTCTCTGACTTACGCATCGCTACTTCACCATCCCTTCTATTGACCCTTGTCAGTGTGGAATAATTTATAGCCTTGTATGTGACATTCAGAAGGCATCTCTCTATCTTTCAGATTGAGCAGGTCTCTGTTATAGCAATATTATCTATGTTTCCTGCATATGCAATTAATCTTAGCTCATTACATAATTTCTTACATCCCCTGTTTTAGTATAGTAAACCTTAAGGGCAGCTAGTCCCTTGCTGCCCTCTGTGTCCCCTTTTGTTTGCTGGACCTGATCTATTGTCTTTATTTATAACTTCATGATGATGTCTTTTATAATTTACTGTTTTTCAACTAGTGTTTGAAACTGCCTGTTTCCCACACACACCTATACCTATCTTTATCAGTTTTAAAATCCTAGGACATTTCAGCAATGGCACCTCTCGATCGAGTTTGCATGTGATACCACACATGCCCCAGGAGAGAATACCCCATCCCATGCTAACTTACTTTGTTTGCCATAAAAGTTGTCCCAGTTGTCAATGAATGGAATTGGAAGTTCCTTGTAGTGTCTGTCTAGCAAGCTAGCCAGATAATATAAACTTTAAATGAACACTTAACAGGCTGATTGGAAACTCACATGCAGACACCGAAAGCAACGGTGGAATATATCTACATCGTTTTTAACCTCCAATTAAGGCTGCCCTTGTTTAAGGACCTTTTTTTTTTTGCTTGTGCTTGGTTTAAATACTATTACTTCAGTCTTGATTAAGAACTACCTAGGCCATTAAAAAAGCTATCTCTTCAGTGTATTAAGGACTACCAACCTTTTCATTAAAGACTCTCTACTTCAGTCTAATTAAGTTTCTGGTTACTCTTAATTAAGGACTATCTACTGTCATCCTTAATCTAAAAAGACTATCTACTTTCTTAACAAGGGTTCATACTGCCTGACGGGTAAAATGGGATAAATCTGGACTTTTTAAATTGAGTTTGAATAGGACTTTATCGGCAACTTAGTCTGTACATTCAGTAAGTGGAGGTGGGATTTACACACTCAGATGAATCACAAGGATGTTAGGAAGTTTACTCTTCAGTCACAGATGCTGTCAGGAAGTGGATTAGCCTGGAGTAGTGATGTCCTGGAAGGCAGTAATCCTTTACCATAGCTTAAGAAGAGGTATGTTTGAAGTCAAGAGCGGGAAGAGTGAATTGAGTAGCGGCCAGGTTGAAGAGGCGGGCGAGCGGAGTATTCAGAGCGGCAAGGGGAGTTGACTCGACCCATGAACGCACAACTAGGTGGTGTACATTAGGTGTATACATGGAGAGGGTTTTCAGTGTCATATCCCCTGCAGACCAGTTCTGTGTCCAGGCCTCATGTGGTACCAGTGGACTGTATCAACCAAGATGTTTCTGTTAGGTAAGACACATATGCAAACAGTTAGTATCTTTATTTTGAAACAGTTTTGACTTACCAGTAGGCTTACTTCAGTCGAGTATCAGAAAGTTGATACGAAGCCATAGATAGAGTACTTGAAGACGATTTTATCTGTCATCACCTTATAAGTTTTGGAGGTGGGCACAGTCCCTACTGTCTGGTGAAGAGAATTGTTTCCGTTTGTCTGTTAACATTATAGTTGTCGGTATCATTATGTTTCAAGGAAAAAGGATACTAATGCTCTTTCTCCAGATGTGGGACTGTGTCCCACCTCAAAACTTTAACGGGTAGATGGACTGATTAATCGTCTTCAAGTATCTTCTGCTTCTATCAACTTTTTATGTACTCGACTGAAGTAGTAGCCTACTGTGTAGAGCGAATAAGTTTCAAAATAAAGTAACCTAAAACTGTTGCATATGTGTCTTACTTAACTATCTGTCGCGGTATTTATTAACCATTTTAATGTTCGAGTGTTACTGTTGGTTCTAAGTGAAAGTACATCCAAAAGTATAAACACAGCCACCGGCTGATCACGGTACTGACTTTAGGTAAATATTTACTATGCACGCCTTAAGTGTATAGAATGAGAAACATTTCCAGGGTTAATACACCAAGTACACACATGATGTGTTTGTGTCGGTGTGCATATACACAGATGGACACAATTTTCAGATCTCCAGTTGAATATGCACTGGGAGATACCCACCTCACAGCAAATCACTGGGAGATATCCATCTCACAGATTTACAATGGGAGAATACCCACCTCACAGCTTATACACTGGGAGATACCACCTAACAGCATTACACTGGGAGTTACCCACCTCTCAACATCATACACTTTAGGAAGATACCCACCTCACTCATGCATATACACAGGGATGATACCCACCTCACAGCATATACACTGGACATTACCCACCTCACTGATATACACTGGGAGTATACCCTACCTCACAGCATATACCTGGGAGTATACCCACCTCACGATAAACACTGGAGATACCCCACCTCACAGCATATACACTGCAGATACCACCTACAGCATATACATGGGTGAGCTAATTTTTTATTTTCCCCTCGGGGAAGGTTCTTTGTCTTCACGGAGGCTTAAATGCACCCCTCACCATTTTCCTCTCATGAGTTCTATGATTCACTTTATTTTTCATACACTCATCTGCTGACAAGTCTACTTACAATTTTTTTTTTTTGACACATCGGTCGTCTCCCACTGAGGCAGGGTGACCCCAAAAAAAAGAAAATCCCAAAAAGAAAATACTTTCATCATCATTCAACACTTTCACCTCACTCATACATAATCACCATCTTTGCAGAGGTGCTCAGATACGACAGTTTAGATGTCCCTCCAAACTGCCAATATCTCAAATCCCTCCTTTAAAGTGCAGTTGTTGTACTTCCCATTTCCAGGATTCAAGTCCTGCAAAGGTTCTTAAATAAAAATTAACTATTTACACATGAACACTATAAACTAAGAACAAAAAGTCACAATATTGTGACTGGAACAGTACACAAATAACCCTCACATAAGGCAAAGAAACTTATGACAATGTTTTGGTCCAGTTTGGACCAGTGTGTGACTTAGTTAATGGTCCACATTGGACCGAAATGTCACCATAAGTTTCTTTCTCCTACATGTATGTATAAAGCTGTGTACCGTGAATTAACGTAGCTGCTGTCCATTTTCAGGTGTGTATGATGGGCCTGATTTTGATGTTCTTTACAAGCAGCAGTACGATAATGTTGCAGACTACATGAAGAAGAAACAAAAACGGTTGGCTGTGGAAAAAGCTGCACAAGATGGCATAATTGTTCCTTTCAAGAAAGGACGTTGGTCAAAATAATAATAATAATATTGATAATCTTCTTAATAAAAAGGATTGTCAGTAAAGGTTCTTTTGTTACACCTTAGACAAGTAAATTATAGAAAATGGGTTTTCTTGAAGTTAATTGCATCCTGGAAACTCTTCCAACAAAATTCATATTTCTTATGATTAGTATCCAATACAGGTGCACTTCAACTTACGATGGTTTGACTTATGATATTTTGACTTTATGATGGTGCAAAAGCAATTACTACTTTGGAGATGAAACTACAGTGGACCCCCAGTATTGGATATTAATCCATTCTTGAGAGCTCATCGAATACCGAAAATATCGAAAAACGAATCAATTTTACCCATAAGAAATAATGGAAATCAAATTAATCCGTGCAAGACACCCAGAAGTATGAACAAAAAAAATTTTTACCACATGAAATATTAATTTTAATACACACAAACTGAAGAAGACATGCACAGTTACATGACACTTACCTTTATTTTGAAGATCTGGTGATGATTGATGGGATGGGAGGAGGGGAGAGTGTGGATGGTGTTAGTGTTTAGAAGGGGAATCCCCTTCCATTAGGACTTGAGGTAGCAAGTCCTTTTCCGGGGTTACTTCTCTTCTTCTTTTAATGCCACTAGGACCAGCTTGAGAGTCACTGGACCTCTGTCGCACAACAGATCTGTCCATAGAGCTCTGTACCTCCCGTTCCTTTTACGATTTGTCTAAAATGGGCCACAACATTGTCATTGTAATAGTCACCAGCACGGCTTGCAATAGCTGTGTTAGGGTGATTTTCATCCATAAAGGTTTGCACTTCAACCCACTGTGCACACATTTCCTTAATTTTTGAAGTAGGCACAATGGATTCCACAACTGGCATAGGCTTCTCAGGGTTAGCCCCAAGCCCTTCAAAATCTTTCTTAATTTCCATACTAATTCTCGCCCTTTTTACCACAGGGTTGGCACTAGAAGCTTTCTTGGAGCCCATGGTGGCTTATTTTGCAGAAACAAGCACCAAAAACAGTGATAATATGGAATGTACCGAATGTATCCTTAGATGCGTGCAAACTGGCTGGCTTGTAAACACTGGCACACACAGGGCAGTTCAGGCCATACGTGGACACATCTCGTACGAATCGTATCGAATACCGGGTTTTCAATCGGATACCGAGGCAAAATTTTTGCGTTAAAATGCATCGAATACCGGATTTATCGAATACCGATGCCATCGAATACAGGGGGTCCACTGTAAAGATAATAACCAACATGAAGGCAACAAATCCATAACTTATATTCATTTATTTACTTTTCAGCACTGGTATTTGGTTACAGGAATTATTAGTTTATTTATTCAGTGACAGGAGTTATTTATTTACTTATTAGCATATCATATTCATACTTGACATGTGCTATTTTCGACTCACGAGGGGTTCGTGTGAACATAACCCGTCATAAGTTGAGAAGCACTTGTACTTCACAGGTATTGCCCTTCCAGAGGAGACAAGGTGATACCCTGATACTAGTGAAGGGCTCTCAATCCAAGAAATGGAATCTAACCCCGCTTCTTCACACCTTCCCTTGATCAAACTTGATTATCTCCATTCCCCAAGGTCTGTGTGATTTACATGGTGGCCTGGAGTTTTACGACTTGCTCGCCACGAGTTCCATCCCCACCCGTGGTATGGTTTGTTTGTAATCATGTCATTTTGATTTCATGAGTCTTTATGACTCCTACACAGACCCCTACAGATTTAGCTTTTCCCTATGAATAAAATTAAAATAATTGATAAGCAATCTTTCTTTGTGTATACTTTAACTTGTTTCTCTGGACTATATTGAATATGTATGTGTGTATTCATCTGTTTGAGGTTGCAGGAGTCAATTCTAGGTCCACTCTGCTTCAAGAGTCTAATCATACCTCATCTTAACCCTTAAACTGTCCAAACGTAGATCTACGTTTGCTCGCGTAACGCTCTGACCTTGATTTTCTCCATAAGAAACTGTAAAAAAAAACAGCGCTATGTGAGCAAATGTAGATCTACATTTGGACAGTTTAAGGGTTAAAGCTATGCATGTGTGTGTGTGTGTTTGTTTGTTTGTTTGAGAGAGAGAGAGAGAGCACGATTAACATACAAACATAAGAAAGAAGGATCACTGCAGCAGGCCTACTGGCCCATGCAAGGCAGGTCCAAGTCTCCTACCGGCTTAAGCCAATGCCCCAACCTAGTCAGGTCAGGTCACATTCACTTAAGGAAGGAACACAGCAACTGACCTAGTAGCACAAGCTAATCAGGTCCAACTCACACCCACTCATGTATTTATCCAACCTATTTTTAAGACTACACAACGTTTTAGCCTCTATAACTGTACTCGGTAGTTTGTTCCACTCATCCACAACTCTGTTACCAAACCAGTGCTTTCCTATATCCTTCCTGAATCTGAATTTTTCCAACTTAAAACCATTGCTGCAAGTCCTGTCTAGGCTACATATTTTCAGCATGCTATTTACATCCCCTTTATTTATTCCTGTCTTCCATTTATACACCTCAATCATATCCCACCTAATTCTACGCCTTTCTAGATAGTGCAGATTCAGGGCCCTCAGTCTATCATCATAGGGAAGATTTCTGATACATGGGATCAACTTTGTCATCCTCCTTTGTACGTTTTCCAGAGCATTTATGTCCATTCTGTAATACGGAGACCAAAACCGTGCAACATAATCTAAATGAGGTCTAACCAAGGATATATAGAGTTGAAGAACAACCTGAGGACTCCTAATATTTATGCTTCTTGATATGAAGCCAAGGATTCTGTTAGCTTTATTGCTAACACTTATGCACTGTTGTCTTGGTTTCAGATTACTGCTAACCAGAACTCCTATATCTTTTTTGCAGTCCCTAATATTAAGATCTACATTATTTAGTTTATAAGTGGCATGGTTATTTTCCTGTCCAACATTTAGACCTTTGCATTGGTCTATATTAAACTGCATCTGCCACTTCTCCAACCACTGCATCAGTCTATTCAAATCTTCCTGGAGTGCTCTAATGTCCTCGTCAGAATTAATTCGACGGCCTATTTTGGTGTCATCGGCAAACTTGCTTATGTCGCTCTTTATGCCCTCATCTATGTCATTTATGTAGATTGTGAACAACAGGGGGCCCAACACTGACCCCTGTGGAACACCACTCATGACGCTTCCCCACTCTGATTTCTCCCCATTTATGCAAACTCTCTGCTGCCATGCCTCTATCCAGGAAAAAATTTCTCCTCCTATTCCAGGTGCCTTAATTTTCCTCAGTAGTCTCTGATGTGGGACCATGTCAAAAGCCTTACTGAAGTCCATATACACAATATCATATTCATTACCATGATCTACCTCCTCAAATTCCTTAGTGAAAAAAGTTAATAAATTCGTAAGGCAGGAACGCCCCTTTGTAAAACCGTGCTGAGATTCATTGATTAATTTATGCTTTTCAGGTGGCTACGAACTGCCTCAGCAATTATTGATTACATAAATTTTACCACTATGGAGGTTAGGCTCATTGGTCTATAGTTCGAAGCTAAGGACCTGTCACCTATTTTGAAAATAGGTATCACATTTGCCATTTTCCACTTATCTGGCACTATGCCAGTTTGTAGTGATATGTTGAAAAGATTAGCTCCTCTTTACATTCCTTTAACACCCTTGCAAACAGTTTATCAGGGCCTGGGGATTTGTTAGGTTTTAATTTATCAATTTGCCTAAGGACCATGTCACTTGTGACCCTAATCATGCATAGTTTATTATTGTCCTGTTCTACATAATTTATTATTTCTGGAATATTGCTAGTATCTTCCTGTGTAAAAACTGAGAGGAAGTTATTTTTTTTTTTTTTTATTAACACATTGGCTGATTCCCACCAAGGTAGGATGGCCCGAAAAAGAAAAACTTTCATCATCGTTCACTCCATCACTGTCTTGCCAGAGGGGTGCTTTACACTACAGTTATAAAACTGCAACATTAACACCCCTCCTTCAGAGTGTAGACACTGTACTTCCCATCTCCAGGACTCAAGTCCGGCCTGCTGGTTTCCCTGAATCCCTTCATAAATGTTACTTTGCTCACACTCCAACAGCACGTCAAGTATTAAAAACCATTTGTCTCCATTCACTCCTATCAAATACGCTCATGCACGCTTGCTGGAAGTCCAAGCCCCTCGCATACAAAACCTCCTTTACCCCCTCCGACCCCTCCCCCGCCTTCCCTCCACTACAGATTTATACACACTCGAAGTCATTCTGTTTTGTTCCATTCTCTCTACACGTCCGAATCACCTCAATAACCCCTCCTCAGCCCTCTGGATAATAGTTTTGGTAATCCCACACCTTCTCCTAATTTCTGAACTACAACTTCTCTGCATTATATTCACACCACACATTTCCTTACCACTGTCCGTGAGCTGACCCAAGTAACTTTTGAGTGGGCCTATCTTGTCCCTGATCTTTCTTCTGTATACCTGAAAGAATCCTTTTGGGTTAGTCTTCGATTCTCTTGCAGCTTTAACCTCGTAATCTCTTTTTGCTTTTCTTATTCCCTTTTTTATGTCTCTCTTCAACTGAATATACTGATATCTTAATTGCCCCTCTTTTCTTTTGATTTCCCTATATATGCCTCTCTTTTGACCAATGAGATGTTTTAATCCATTGTTCATCCATTTAGGATCATTTTTGTTTGATCTGATTTCCCTATTTGGAACATAAGTTGTCTGAGCATCTAGAACTATACCTTGGAAAACGTCATATCGGCAATCATCACCACCTACCTGACCCATAGTCAGGTCATTCCAGTTCAGCCCACCCAAGTAATTTTTCAGTCCTATGAAATCAGCCAAGCAGAAGTCAGGGACAGAGACTTGATTGCCATTATTAGGGAAATTCCATGATATATTAAAACTGAGTGATTTGTGATCACTTTCCCCAAGTTCATCATTAACCTCAAGATTATTAATTAGTGTTTCCCTACTGGCAAGAACCAAGTCAAGCA